CTCCAGTATATTTCCTCAGGATCCATTCACCTTTTTGGAGACAGGGTCTCTCACTGTCCTGGAGATCACCAAGTGGGCTAGACTGGCTGGCCAGTGACTCCCCAGGGACTTCCTGTCTCTGCCTATTTATCCCTGGGACATGCACCACTGTGCTAACTCTTCCTACATGGATTATGGTTACTCTTGTTTTAATTATCTTTTTCTTCTTTGTTTTATTATGTATGCAGGACGTGTGTGAATTCAGGCACACAGGAAGAGGTCCATAAACAATTTTCAGGACTCAGTTTCCTCTCCTTTCACCATAGGATTCATGGAATCTGGGGGCTGAACTCAGGGGTCCATGCCTGTGTGCTCAGCAAGAGCTTTTACCCACTGAAAGCCATTTTACTGATGCTAGAGCATTTTATTTTGTTTTGTTTTGTTTTTCAAGACAAAGTTTCTCTGTAGCTTTTGGAACCTGTCCTGGAACTAGCTCTTATAGACCAGGCTGGTCTCAAACTCACAGAGAGCCTGCCTGCCTCTGCCTCCTGCTGGGATTAAAGGCATGTACCACCACCACTCGGCTTACCCTAGACCTTTTTTTTTTTAATTTATTTATTATGTATATAGTGTTCTGGGCACCAGATCTAATTATAGATGGGTGTGAGCCATCATGTGGTTGCTGGGAATTGAACTCAGGACCTTCAGAACAGCAGTCAGTTCTTTTAACCTCTGAGCCATCTCTCCAGCCCCCCTAGACCATTTTTTAAGAATACCCACAGAAGGGACTGGAGAGATGGCTCAGTGGTTAAGAGCATGGCCTGCTCTTCCAAAGGTCCTGAGTTCAATTCCCGGCAACCACATGGTGGCTCACAACCATCTGTAATAAGGTCTGGTGCCCCCTTCTGGCCTGTAGACATGCATACAAACAGACTATTGTATACATAATAAATAAATAAATAAATATTAAAAAAAAAAGAATACCCACAGAATCACTGGTAGAATTACCAATAAAAGAAACATTACAGGGTACAGGGGAACACTGTCTAACACACACCAGTACTGAGTTTGATTTCCAGGAAAGAAAAAGTAAAGCAGAGAGAAGGGATGGTTGGGGGGACATGACTGCAGATGCAAAAGGGAGACCCAAGCCTGCAAACAGGTGGGAAAACTGGAATCAAAGAACTGTCAAGTGCTGATCAGAAGCCAGCTTACTGCATTAAGGAAATCTCAGTGTCACCTCTAGGTCATGCCAACATGGAAGTGACTCAAGGTGGCAGAGAGGACTGACCAAGGCCACTCGGGGCATCAGGTGACATAAACTGTGTCTGGTCTTCTACCCTTACAGGGAAAATGACTGCCAGAGCAAGACACCATGACAAGGGAATTCACCAAGCTAGGATTATCTCTATGAATATTATGAGCGGCTTAGTTTTTAAGCCAGTGGCTTCTGCACCAGTTTCCAATATTGTAAGGAGCTGGCTGGCTAGAACATCTTCAGCTCGGTCTAGTGATCTCCTTCCACTGCTGAGAGGCTGCTGGATTATAGGTGTGGCTATATGACCCTCCCCGCCAATGAGTCAGGAGAAGAAGTATCTCTGGAGGCAGAAGCCTACTCATCAGAAGAGAACATGAAGAAATAAAAGTGGCAACTTACTACAATACAGTCTGACATTCTGACCTGAGTAAACTTTATACTCAAAAAAAAAAAACACATGAAAAATGAAGCTTTTAATAAACACAAAACACTTTCTTCCTTAATGGCCCATATTCTGAGCAAGCCTAGTCATGCAGGTCTGTAATCCCAGCAGTAGAGAAACAAGCCAGCCTCGGTTACAAAGTAAAATCCAGGCCAGCCTAGACTACATGTGAGACCTTGTCTCAAAATAAACAAAAGAACAAATACAGTTTCCATCTCTTCAGTCAGTTTGGGATTGACTAAAGAATCCCAAATTAAAACTTGGTGGAGGGAGGACAATAGCTAGGCCCTGATCACAGCGAGCACTGACGGTTATGTGTGTGCCGCACAGAGCTCCTTCCAAGCACTGGTACTGGTTCTCCCACCAAGGGAATGGCTAGCAGGGCTGCAGTGGGAAGTCCCCTTCTCCCCCAGTGGAAGACTAGGAAAAAAAGCCTGTCCTGCTGGGTACCTGAGCCTGGTGCGGTCAGCCAGGAGCATGTGCAGGTAGCGCTCCAAGGAGTGCTCGTTGAGGGCACAGCGCAGCCAGGCCCGGCCTCGGCCCACATCCGCAGTGATGTGGTGCAGGGAGTAGAAGCGTTGCAGTTCGTGCTTGTTGAGGACCTCCTTCACGTAGAACCAGAACACAGGCTCTGGGGAGAGAGGGCAGAAGCACATCATGGCCTACACGCTGTCATTTTCAGAGCAACGGTCCATAGGCAACTTTATGGAGTGTAAATGGCATCCGTTACTTCCTTAGACAGATGAAGAAGAACAAAGCAATAATCAAAAGTAAACAGGTCTCAGAACCTCCCACCCCAAGACCACCATTCCTAAATAACATTTTCAAACCTTCATTCCAGTCTTTTTTTATTGCACCTATACAAAAATCACCATTTGGGGCAGCTAAATGATGTCCCCAAACATAACTACACGCTAGTCTCTGAAACCTGTGAATGTAGCCGGAAGCAGCAAAGGAGTGTTGGCAACTCTGACTATGGCAGTTCCCAAGGACACAACATATTAACAAGTGTCTTCATAAGAAGACAGACAAACTGACCCACAGGGAAAAGGCCATGTGGCTAGGGAAGCCTTTGCTGGCAGCCGGCAGCAGCAGAAGCTGGGAGAGGTGAGAATGGTGGCGACCCTGCAGTGTCGGCAGAACCAGCCTGCCAGTCAGGCCAATGAAACTGACCTCAGACTTGCAGCTCCAGGACTATGAGAATAAGTCTCTGTAAGCTGAATATGCTATCATGCATCTACAGTCCTGGCTAATCAAGAAGCTGAGGCAAAGAGTGTGGTTTGAGCCAAGGAGTTCAAAGCTAGCCTGGGCAACAGAGCAAGATCCTATTTCAACAACAACAACAAAGAAGTACATTGTATACTGTATGATTGTATATGTATACATATAATTCTATATCTTGATTCAGATTTTTCTCCCCCCCCTTGGTCTTTTGTGTGTTTGATTGGTTTTTGGTTTATCAAGACAGGATTTCTCTGTGTAACAGCCCTGGCTGTCCTGGTACTAGCTCTGTAGACCAGGATGGTCTCGAACTCATAGAGATCTGTCTGCCTCTGCCTCCCAAGTGCTAAGATAAAAGGTGTGTGCCACCACAGCCTGGTTTGATTCAGTTTTTTCTAAATCATGAACATTTTCCAGATTCGAAGGGCCTCAGAACAATTTTGTGTTGTTACGTATTCACCCAGTGTTCTGAATACTGAACGTGATTTTTGGCAGCTTCCTGGTGGGATATAATTTAGATCTATCTTGATTACAAAGAATTTACTACATTGCTGTTTCCCCTCACACACACACACACAAAATCCTTGATCATGAATAATCACCCTCATTTCTATATCCTCAGGAGAGCTTCCCAAATGGTCAACTCTTTGGTATAATGACAGGAACAAATTTAAGGTTACGGGAAGGCTAAATAAGGCTTGTTGAACCACAGATAGCCATTCTTACTGGCATCTCTTCAAGGCTACCTTTCTTATCCACATTACAAATTATTTGGGAGTTGAAATTTTAGTGTATACCTCATTTTGTGACCAATTTTCTTTATAACATTGACTCATTGACACTTTTTCATGCTATTGTCAGAACTACAATGACAGCTGTTAGCTACTGAGTATTAACTGTACACCAGTCATTGTCACAAATTTCATTTTTTTTGGTTGACCTCACTCAAACCAAGGCCATTTTATTCAAAGCAAGGCCTGGACAAGTTTTACCTTGTCCAGTTCAACTGTGGAGGGGTGGGGGTGGTGCACTCCTTTAATCCCAGCACTCGGGAGGCAGGGGAAGGCAGATCTCTTGAGCTCGAGACCAGCCTGATCTACAGAGCGAGTTCCAGGACAGGCTCCAAAGCTACAGAGAAATCCTGTCTTGAAAAGCCAAACAATGCCCCAAAAAAAGCAGCATACATGAGCTGGAATGTGGTTCCTAACACAAGCCACTCAAATCATATTTGCTTCTGCTGCCTTCAGAACTGCTCGATTTATTTCTAAGTGGAGCAGAGCCAAACAGGTTCATAGGCCCCTCTGAGAACATTAAAGTCACTGAGGTTCCCTTCCAGATTAAGAAGTTCACTCTAACTCTTCAGTTCAACTGACCTAGGTTAACTGTATCTTTCTAGTGAGTTTCATCTTTGAGGGGCATTTAGTCGAACACACAGGACAAATGAGTGACAAGATCATTCAGTCACATGGCCACAGAGCCATGCTGAACCTCAGATTCCTCTCCCATGAGCACAGAAAAGGTGCGTCTGGAACTATGGGCTCACTGGAGAAAAGGGCAGGTAGAGTGTTGAGCACAAGGCCAGGCCACCCGACCAACAATGGCAGCCTGAAACAAGATAACCAACACCCATGGCTGGCAAAGAAGAGGCACTGTGTAACCTCTCTCTCCCTTTCTGGGTTAGTAGCACCTAAATGTATAGATTTAAGAATTATGAACTCTGGTTGTCAGGCTAGGTGACCAGAGCCTTTACAGATGAGCCATCTCCCCGGATCATTCTTCAGAACAAACTTCCCAGGAGAAAATGCAGTTCACCCTCAGTCCTCATGTAGCAAACTCATCAAACACCTGCCCAGAAGAGGCTGTGCCTCCAGGAGGGAGGGAGCTCTGAAGACAAAGCTTAGGAAAGTCCTGAAAGTTTCCAGATTCACAGGGCCCCATCCAAAGTCATAAAAACAGCAAACACCTGATGAGGAGGAAGACTCCTTAATGGAGCTGCCGCAATCTGGACAGAAGCACGGGTCGTGCACATTCCCCTGAGTCAGCCATGATTCTATAAGTAACCCCAATAAACTGTAGTTCATCAAACTAGACTTAGGTGCAATCACTTTTTGCCCTGTTGTCAGTTCCCTATGGCTGTGAAAAGACATTTGTTTATGCCCAGGGAAAGTTACATTCAAACACCAGAACTGGGGATTCTGGGGAGCACACTACCCTCAGCCACCAAGTGACTCTCACTGGCACTCCGCCTTCTCAAAAACTACAGTCACCTCCCTCTGACCTTGAACACCAGTAGCACTTTACAGTAGAGAGTGTTTTGCTCACCTCGAGGATCCTTTACAAGCCTGTCAATGATGCGCTGATGATAACTATTATCCCAGCAGGGTCCCACTTCAGAATTAATGTGGTCTATTTAAAGCGCAGTTTGCCTACCGTTTAATGCAAGCGGTGGCCATAATTTAATTTGGAAATCTATACCAATCTGCTTTGAAATATGGGGTAAGTTCCAGAGGCATGCAAGGCTTCCACTCCTCAGAGCACTGAAGCCAGCTGCCAGCAAGAAGAGAGCCGGGAAGGGGTGCCAAAGTGAGCAGTCTGAGGGTTGTGTTTGCAGCTGACTAACAACAGCTTTTAGCAGTTTCTAACAGGCCTCGGCTTTTACTGGCAATGCCAAGACATCATATCTTCCATAGGTACAGAGGACAAAGTGTTTGATGAGCAAGAGGAGGGCCCAAGTTCAGATCTCCAGCACCCACATTACAAAGCCAGAAGTGCAGCTAGACATGGTGGTGTATGCCTTTAATTCCAGTACTTAGAAGGCAGATGCAGGTGGACCTCTGTGAGTCAAAGCTAACCTGGTCTATGTATGGTGTTCAGGTCAGCCAGAACACAGGGGTGCACCTATAACCCCTGCAGTGGGAAGGCAGTGACAGGAGGGTCCCTGGGACAGCTGGTCAGCCATTCTACCCCAATCAGTGAGCTCCAGCTTCTCAAAAACTAAGGCAAAAGGCAATTAAGGAAGACACTTGACCTTATCTGTGGCCTACACAAAGACATGTACACACATACAAATGTGCACACGCACACACAAAATGTGAAATAACATATAAAATGTGTCTACGAGTTGACTCAATCCGTGTCAGCCACTGATGTGGGAGTGTCATATATCAATCTGTTGATTTCATTGGTTAAGTTATAATAAACCAGATGCTTGGCCTCATGGCTTGGAACATAGATGGGAGGAGTAAACAGAATAGAATTCTGGGCGGAAGAGGAAGTGAGGTCAGACTCTGCTCTGCTCCCAGAGAGACCAGACAACTCTGCGCTCTGGAGCAGAGACATCATGGACGGAGGCTAGAATCTTCCCGGTAAGCGCACCTTGGGGTGCTTACACACATCATTAGAAATGGGCTAGTCCAGGTGCGAGAATTAGCCTGTAAGGGCTAGAGTTCATGGGCCAAGCAGTTCTTAAATGAATACAGTTTGTGTGTTGTTATTTCGGGCATGAGCTAGCCAAGCGGCCGGGGTGTTGGGGATGCAGCCCCGCCGCTCTTATTTCAACAAGCCACAGCAAGCATGCCTGTTGAATAAAGTGTTAATGGTAAGCAGCAATTGATACTCATCATTACAGTACAGCAAAGCCTAGCACAAAAGTGCCCAACAGCATCCTCCCCTTGCTCTGGATGCCCTTTCTTTCCCACAACAAACATGCCCCGTGTGGTTCCCTATGATGCTGCCCTGACCTCTTCCGCCCCCAGTAGTGGCAGGTCCTACAAGTTGGGAGATAGTCAGACTACATTAGAGTGTCCATTTCTATGACACAGCTTCATCCCACCCCTGTTTTAGGTCTGAGCTCTTCATGGTGAAGGGGTTAAAGTCTCCCACTCCCACAAGTGAGTTAAGGGCCGTTTATCTATAATGCCCCTGTATTCGGAGTTGAGGCCTGAGCCAGCCTCACAATATCTCAAGGACAAATCCAGCAGCCCCCTCTGAGTCATGTCCAAACTTGTCCAAGCTTGTGCAAGTATATCCAAAGACGATAAGACTAAAGTTCAGCCAATTAAAAGGATCCTAGCGAGCTGCTGCTTGTTTAGCCAATTGTGTATGAGATGACATAGCTGTCCCTGAAACTCGCTTAGTTGTGCTTAAAAGGAGCCTACACACTCCTCTGGGGTCAGCGCCATTTTCTACAGGAGAATGACCCCACATGCATGCAGAAATATTAATAAATGCTCTTTACTTTTACATACTATTTGAGACAGGAGTCTCCTTCGATATTTCCTCAGACCCTACAATGGAATATTCCTTTTTTTTAATTGATATTTATTGAGCTCTACAATTTTCTCTGCTCCCCTCCCTGCTTCTCCCCTACCCACTTCAACCCTCCGATTGTCCTTTTCTACTTTCTACTTC